CAACAAACTTTTTGTTTAGAAGTGTTTTTTAAGACCACCAGTATTTAATCTATTTCATCTAAGAAGATCAGAGATTGATAGTTGACTTTTTTTTGCTATTATATTGATAAGCCTCATGCTCCTTTCTAAAAGGTTTTCTAATATGAGTTAGACTGAAGTTTTGATCTTTCCAAGGTCTCCTTATCACCCCCTAATATGACTAGAATCCAGGTAGTGTTGCGTATTATCTTGAACCTAAATAATACGCCACTCTCATGATAATCCTTAGGTCATAAGGCAAAGGTGATTTTCTAGGAAGGCTATACCTTTCCCATATCACCCTCTGTAATGATATAGTACTTTATATTGCAATTACGAAATGCTATAAAACGTCCATTGGCTTCTGATTTATAGCCAAATATATCTTGCAGTTATTAATTAATTGAGCCATTTTGATCAAATACACATAATTATTTATTCACGACTATTGTTGTCCAATCGAAAATCTGCCTGATTTGAAGCTACTGATAACGTGGTCTTGTTTGATCTGGTTATTTTATCTGCAAATGCTCATAATTACAGTTAAATATTCGAAAAAAGGTGCCTATTTTTTTCATGGTGCTTGATATTTAATCATTATTGAAATCCTATTTTAGGTTTTGGTTGTTATCGTTCGTTATATTTATCGTTGAAGTGTGGGCAATACTCGAATTTTCTACTAAAAGCATGCTTTAGTTGGTTCATGAATCTTAGGTATTTAACTCTGGTTTATTTCTATTTTCTGCACATAATTTCAACTCTTATTGTGTGTGCTGTTTATATATATATATATATATATATACATACATAGAAAGGGATGAGGCCAGTTCTCCTCTTACTTTGTCCACTACATTTAATGTGTTAGCTTAGAATATTTCATACTCGCTTTCATTTAATATATATAAGTCTCACTATTTCAATCTTTGACCCAGATTGATGTTGGAGTTTGAAGAGGCGAGTGGAAGCGATTCGTAAGTTCGTTCCATTGGAGGCTTGGGGGGGTTTCTCTGGAGCTGAGGTTGTAGGTTTGTGCGAATAGGTCCTCGGCGCACCGCTTAACAAGGATTCATTGAAGTCGCAGGTCCTTTAAAACGAAATGAAAGGTAGAAGTGGGTTGAACTCGTCACAACTTGGTCTTGTTTTCAGAGAGACAAGACCAAGTTGCGACAACGAGGTCAACCCACTTCTATAAATCGAAAGGAGACTGCGACCATACCAGACGCCATAACATCTTGGTCTTTATAACTTCAATGAAATGAAAGATACTTCACCATCATTCTATTAAGGGATTCTTCGAAACCCAGTTTTTCTAAATTTGACCCAAATTGTTTTTCTATACTATAAGTTTAGCTTAATGGGACCTTAGTCACTGATCCCTCATTTTAACTCCAAGGTCTCGATTCAAATTCATGTTCTTCGTCCATTCACTTATCCCATTTATTTAGTTTGGCTCTTTTTGCTCCTTAGCAATATGTTTCTTATATAACTTGTTAATCGATTTCATTGCCTCTTCCACAGTATTGCTCATAATCAAGTATTTATTCACATTGTCATTTCCTAATGTTGATGACTTTAAAAGCTTGAATATCATGTTTCTACCTTCTAGGTCTCTTTATATTCAGAATCATGAATTAGCATTTATTTCCTTCCCATTTCATTTTCACACTACAGCATCTTCCTTAAGGACCTTAGATTCTGCTTACTCATTATGCCCAGGTACATAATGGTCGCCATCATTCCCATATAAACATCAGTCGATATAGACACGGCTTTTCTACTACAATGAAATTTTATAATAGATTGATTTCTCGCTTCAACATAGTTTGGAGCTAGTCAAATCGTTTTGCATCAGGTAACGAAGGCCCTAACAACCGTATTATGGCGCCATTACCTTTACTATTCTATTAGCGAGACATATTACGTAACCTCCATTAATTGACGTTTATTAAAAAATCTGCCGTAATTTATTGAGACTTCAAGCTTGATTAATGAGATCACTGATTCCCGCAAGGTTCGATAATATTTTTGTAACGAACTTAAAATTTATTGCCTATTTTCTACCAATTATTCTTTCTTATTTGTCCTTTGAAACCTTTTTCCTTGACCACCCACTCTTGCATACATGTGAAAACCTTTAGGTCTGGTCACCATTCGAGACTCAAATAGTCTCTCCTTTATCTTACAAAGAACCATCAGCTACTCGATCCCCTCTCATTCACACAAATAAGCAGATTCAGCTCAATGCACCCTGCGCCAGTGACGACCTGCCTTGCAAGTCTGCTGTTCTCCGGGTTCCAGATGAGTATGTAAGCAACGACAACTTCGTTCCGCCACCAGCCTCAGTTGTTTGTTTGTCTACTGGATGCACTGATGAGCTAGCATTCGATCTGGATGAATGGCTCTCGATATTTGATGCTAATCGGCATGACTTCGCTGACCATCTTGTGCCATTAAGTAACAGTCCTGAACTGACGAGTAATGGCGCATGGTGGGGTTACTCGAGCACACCAATGCTCGAGCATGAGCTCCCTCCTCTCCCGAAGCAAACCAATATTCTTCAGCATAACCATCAGTTTCATTCTCAAATGCAACAGCAACAGGGGGATGTGTCTCAACATTTGAACCATCACCATCATCATCATAATCATCATCATCATCACCATCATCACAATCACAATCAACAGCAACAGCAGCAACAGCAAAACACTTACCACGCCCACTCACGTTCTCACAATCATGCATATGCTAATCATCACCACCACTACACTGCTTCTGGAATGCCCTCAATGAAGGCCTATTCGGCAGGACCAACTCATGCCGGACCCATATCCCCACGATCTGGAGGCCCGAGTTCTGGGGAATCTGGTTCGCTGGCTGCAACTGGCATCGTTTCCAACAGTAATCTCAACTCAATTGGACCTGCCCTTCGAGGCATGAGTGCTTCTGTCACCTTTTCTGGCGGATCGCATAAACGTGCTTATTCTACATCTTCTTCAGCTACTGGCGCTGTTGCTTTAGAATCTGACAGCGGGTCCTCAGTGTTGGGGCATATGCCGACAAAACGCCGCCGATTGACAGGAGCTGCTGCGGCAGCAGCTGCCTCAGCCAAACGAATGGCCGCAGCCAACGCTGCATCTGCTATGGGCGGGCCCTCTGGTATAAGTAAGTACTTCTCTGACTAAGTCTCTTCCTAGCCTGGTTTATTTCCTGTCCTGTCCTGATGTTCATCTTTGATTTTCTAACATGAATTTCGTCTTGTCCTTAAGCTTACACTTTATTGAGAGTCATGTGTTTCTTGGGACATAGTCTTTTCCCATTTATTAATCATCGACATCTTTTTAGGGTTTATAAAAGCTAAATTTATTTATTATGCAGTCTTAAATGGGATTTTAGCCTACATTGGTATCTAACCCTCTTACCTGGTTCGAATACATTTTCTTTAAGGGTCAATTGACTATATTTGTCCAATCTTTGCTATTACACTTAAGCTTCTTTTTATTTATATCAATTTAACCATAATTCTGATTTTAGCATATCGATCTCTTTCACTTCTCTTGGCGGAAACATAGAGGTTATTCATATAAAATGTCTAGGATAATACTTCTTCATGTTAGCATGCTTGCTATGTGATTGCTATATCTGACTCATGGTGGCATACCTTTCATTTAGTTTGAAAATGCCAGTGAAAGGGATTAGTAAATTGGCCTCATTGGATACTGAAGACGGAGTGTCTTGGACTTTTGTCTATTAAATTGTG